CCACCTTTATCATATGCTGATTTTATTTTTCCATATCTAATTTCTTGAGTTAAAAGATTCGTATTTTTTAAATGTTTTTACATAACAAAAGTATGCTGAGAATCTGTGTTTAAACCTAACAAGGGTCATGTCCCACATGTTCTTTTTTTTTTTTTTTAAGATTTATTTATTTGTTATTTGAGAGACAGCATGCACACAAGGATGAGCAGGGCAGGGGGCAGAAGGAGAGAGAGAATCGCCAGCAGACTCCCATTGAGCACAGAGCCCGATGCAGGACTCAATCCCACGACCCTGTGATCAGGACCTGAGCTGAAACTAAGAGTCGGATGCTTGACCAACTGAGCCCCCCAGGAGCCCCACGCCACATGTTCTTAAAAGCCATTCTATATTTACAGGACCACTTTCTTCCTGAGGAGCCTCATTAATTTCTAAATGCCTGATTATTCAGTTTTAACTCTGTTAGGATCTCGCTGTAAACGATGATGCTCAGCGAACACACCCCACATTATTCTAGCTTCTCACACTTTGACATGTAGGCTGAGGTCAGATGATTCACTTTGTTAATGTTCCACAGAAACTCGCGATTCGAACAGCTAAAACTCCGCCCAGAGCTCTCGGGCCACCCCTGGTTTCTGCACCCGGATTCACAGTAACCTTTCATCCTGATCAGATCCGCCATGTCTCCTCCTACGCTTGCTTCATCCGAGTCTGTCTCTTTTAGAAAGTCTTAAATGCAAGTTTAACGTACAGACGGAAGAGCGCACAAACCAAGACCTCCGTGAAGGGGCACTGTGGCACGCTCCCAGAAGTTTGTGCCCCACGATGTGTAAGTGCAGAGGCGCCACTCGGGCCACCGTCTGACATCACTCCCTCTACTCTGTTGAACGGCTCCTCCTATGACCTGATGGGGACACAGCCAGCCCGGCTTCCTTCTGAGCCACCTGCTCGTGGCCACCCCTTCGCCTGCATGTCGACGGCCCTTAGGTCCTGGCTGCCATCCTGGGACTGCTCCCGCACCTCTCCCTTCCGGCTCCTTGCCCCAAGTCCATCCCGGTCCTCTTCCCCACGTGCCTGGCCCTCGGACAGGGCCCCTGTTGGGTGCTGGGAAAGTCCTGGCTCTGTGCTTCTCAGGCTGTCTCCCAACGGCCATCCGACCCTCGGCGCCCCACCCCAGCTCCCCTCCACCCCGCACACTCAGCACCAGCTTCACTGACTTACTGCCTGTTGTAGGGCAGGTTGTGCAGCACGGGGTGGGTAGGGAGGGGCCTCTCCTGAGTTCCCTGCCAGGCTCTAGGCTGCTGTGACAGGCTCCAGCTCGGGCCCCACAGCCCCCTGTCCCAAGCCCTGCACTGAGCTATCAGCAGCCCCTCTGCTCATCTGTCACCCTAATCCACCCCACACACATTGGGGAAACTGAGTCTGGGAACAGACAGCATAGGGCCCGGCCCAGATGGAGGGCTCCAAGGGCCACACTGCACCACCGAGTGGCCATCTCATAGGACCAGGAGTATCAGAGCAGAGGCCCTGCCAACGGGTGCTGCATCCCCCCTGGTCCTGCTGGTCCCGAGCAGCCACCCACCACCCACAGGCGCCAAGGTGCCAGGCGTCAGGCCAGCACCCCAAGGGCCTTCTCGTGCCACCTAGGAAGCAGGCGGGAGCTCTTGCCACAACGTGGGGCACAGAGCCAGGCTTGCTCACGCTGAGCAGCTCTCTCTGCATGCAGGGCTTCAGGTGATGGCCGCCCCAGCTGGTCCTGCCCTGTGCTCTCGGGCTCCCACTTCCAGACCTCCGCACTCCCAAGGATCCCACAGAGGCCGAGGGCTCCACCGGAAATGCCACACTCTGCTCCCCAGAACTTCTTTACTTTCCTTACTCTGAAACACAAGGCACCGACACTGCCACCTCTTCTGAGTGTCTAAGGGACTCGCTCTCTTCAAAATCAAAACGATGCCAATTCCTGCATGGGGAGAATTTCCCGGTCTCACAGAGCACCTCAGTGTGCACGCTGCTTCCGGGCCGCAGTCCCAGGAGGCCGGCAGGACAGGAACAGCCCAGCTGGGTGCCACCCTCTCCGCCAAGCACCAGGGTGGGCTTGCCGGGCCCCAGAGGCAGGGAAGGCTGGCTGTAATGGAGGACCAGCGGGCAGGGGCTGCTCGGGGCTGCCCTCAGACCCCAGGATCCTGGGGTACCAAACGAAGCAGCTTAGACTTTAGGGGATAAAGCAGATATAGTTTTAGAGTGGCTGACTTTCAACTATTTTGTGTGCTCTGTGTATCAACCAGCCCAAGATGCCCGCGAAGCCAACACCCGAAGCTTTACGACACCTCCCATCAGTGAGAGGAGCACCTCAGAGGGAGCACGAAAAGCATCACGAACAAGTCTGCAGCCCTGGAGCAGGGCGGGAGCCCCGGCAATGGGAGCCACGCCAGATCTCCGGCCACCGGATGCCCTGGGGCCAGTCCTTCATGGCTTATAGGACACATGTGCCTAAAGCGGGGTGCAGAGGCACAGCGGCTCCCTCACCCACCCTCTGTGCCAGGAGCTCTCTTGCTGGGAAACATTCTGCCCCCCAGAGGCCTGGGAAGAGGCAGAGCCTGCCAGGTGCACCCCCAGGGAAGGGCCTTCCATCCAAAGACCCAACAAACCCTCGTTAGGAAAAGGCAGAAGGGGGAGAGAATCTGGGCTGTGAGCACTGAGGCTCAGACAGCCGGGCCTGGCGGAGATGGGCATAGGCAGTCAGTGGGAGAGCCATGCTCTGGCGCCCGCAGGAGGGCAGGGAAACTGAGTCATCTGCAGGGTTGGGGTGAGCAGGATGGCCGGTCCTCCCAGACCAGTACAAAGCTCCTGGGCACTAGGGCTCAGGGCAGGAGTGAACGCACACTCCAGAAGGGGCCTCCCTCGGTCCACAGGGCCCAGCGCCCCCGCGGCCCCAGGAGGCCCTGAGGACGTTCACAGAGCAGACACAACCAGACCTCCGGCCTAGGCAAGTCTCCAGGGAACTGAACCGAGGCGGCAAAGCCCATCACCCCGTCCCTGGCACCCGCAGCAGGGGGCCTGGTGGACACCAGAGTGTCTCCTAGCTCCTGGGAAGCCTTCCTCCTCGGGAAGGATTCTGTTCCTATGGAAATGACTTACAGCAACGCTCATCTCCCAAGGGGCAAGTGACAGGTCCGCACAGAGTGAGAACGAGGGCTTTTAGCCTTTTCCCTGGAACGTTCTCTGCCGGAGACTTGGGCTCTTGGTCTGGGTCACTCTGGCCATCTGCCCTGGATGCACTCACTGTCCTAAAATGTCACCGTTGCAACCTCCATTTCCTCCCACACTCACCAGGGCCCCGGGGGCTCTTTGTTTCACTCCTGTTCTCCTATTTCCTCTCCCATTTGGTTCAGGCCTCCACAACACCCTGCCGTGTTTGTACCATGCGCTCCATCCAACCCCCTGCCCCTGAAGCCCCGGCTCCTCCCCTGCTCCCCACGCTAATCTCAAGCTCCTGAGCAGGACTCTGGGAAGGCTGGCAACCCACTTCAGGCAGCTGCCCAGGCCTATCTTCTGACCAGCACTGGGCATTGTCTCCAGCCAAAGAGCAAACACACAGGCTTCTAGAAACAGTGGTGAAATGTGGTGGCTAATGAACAGTGGGACTTGGCATCACAACTCCCAAGCCGCCAGGATCGCTGCTGCCTGGGGTCACCTGCCACGCGGTCCCCTCACGTGGGCTCTGTGAGGAGTGGGAAGACAGGCAGCCCAGAAGGGGCAGGGGCAAGGCCGGCCAGGCACCCCCCAGACCTGCTCCCACTGTTGTCCCCCAGGGTGGGATCACAGCTCTGCGTCAGCCCCTTCGTGGTGCCTGGCACATTTCCCATGACCTGAGTCACCCCCTGGGAAGAGGGTCCTGGGGGCACTGTCCCTCTCTGGGGAGAGGGAAGACACAGAGGGCAGAGTGGCCAAGCCCCTCGTGCAAGGTCTCTCCCCCGAGCAGACCTGAGGTGCCCACCCTCAGGCACGTGTGGCTCAGGGCCACCCAGGGCTGGGGGGCAAGAGTGATTTCTGGGGCAGTGAGGAGCCTCATGTGCAGCACCCCACGGTCACAACCTCCCATCGCCCCCAAGTTCCACCACACCAGGTGGAGCCAGGAGGGAGCCAGTGAGGATCCTGGTCACCTGTTCTCACCTGGAGAACCTGGGGAGTCAGCCTAAGCACAGGGGCATGTGCAGGCCAAGGTCACACCACGGCTGGCCGCGGTGCCCCAGGGAAGCTGGGCCCTTCTCCCTCAAATAAACAGCCAGCTGTCCTGGGCCCGTGTCTGGGTCAGCCAGCAGTGTCCTCCCAAACCTCCCACACGGAGCCAGGGAGCCACAAGGCCGAGCAGACTGCTGTGACCCAGGGCTATCGGGTCCCTCACTTGAAAGCCACAGAGTGAAGTGGCCAGAGTGACCCCGGCCAGGTGGGGCAGAGCCTGGTCCCTGGTCCCCACGCTGGTGTTCTCTTCAGTGTAGCTGGGAGGCCCCAGCCTCCCAGGTCACCGGGCAGAAGGCCCCAGGCACCTGGGGCCACAGTGGCTAGCACCCAGTGGAGGGGTCAACATCACCCCTGGTTCTCGGGCCACCATGCGGAGGCCCACTTGGGGTAGGGATGAGACGGGCTGGCACTCCACCCCACAGAGCCCCAGTCGAGCACTGAGCTGATGAGTGGGTGCCAGTGTGGCTCTCCACTAAGTTGTGGAGGAAAGTGGCCCAGAGAGGCTAAGCGACCCACCTGAGTCACACAGCTGTCAGGTGGCCAAGCGCCCTGGCCGTCGGCTCATGGACCAGCACCTCCCCTGACGCATCACAGCCCCGCAGCCACCCCCAGTGGCACAGCTCACACCCGGCGAGCATGGCCTGCGCGTTCCTGGGTCTGCCGAGCTTTCCAGGAGGTAAGGCTCCCAGCCCGGGCTCGGAAGCCCTGGACGACAGCGGAGAAAATGAAGCACAAACCCTTCTGAGGAGGCATTTACTTACCTGGAAATCCTTTTCTTCCAGAATTTCCTTCCTCCATCTCACCAGGAAAGCAGCGCAGACGTACAAGTGGAAGTGAGAGAAGCCCTCGGGTTCCGACTGCAGGAGAGAACACAGGGGCCGTGAGCACGCCTGCAGGACCACGTGGCCACCGGCGGCCAGTTACCCCCCGCGGGCAGAGCCCCAGGAGGGTGCAGACAGCCCAACCGTGCGTGACTTGTTCTCACCCCCTTAACATAAATCCAGGCTTCTGATTGAAGAGGATGCGAGCAGGCTGTTCCTCTGCATCTCCTGCACGGGTGACAGCCAGCAGTAATGAGGGCAGACCCGTGAGCGCACCTTCTGTGCCACGACCCGGGGTGGACACCTGCCCGCAGAGGCCGGATCACTGGCCGGGGCTAAACTGTGGTCCTTGCTCCCCCGAGGGCGCCCCCAGGGAAGTGAAGCCAACGGAAGTGGTGGGCTGGCGGAGTGTAGAGGGGCTCCACGCACCTGCTCCTTCCCCACCGCTCCTCAGCAGGCCAACGCCCCCTTCCCACCAGGGGTTCAGCTCGCCCCCTCTTCAGGGCCCCCCCGCCTCCCGTGCCTGGCCTTAGTTCAGGTGCATATCACCAACTCCTGAAACCTGGCTTTTCCCATCCTCATACAACAGAGTTGGGTTACAAATCAGTAACCAAAGAAAGCTAAAAAGTCCCAACAAATTTAAAATGAACCACATATGTTTATAGATTTTAAAAACATGCTAATAAGTAAGCTATGGTTCAAACAAGTAAATCATAAAATGAGGCAGAAAATTCTTAGAATTCACAGAGAGTGAAGAGATTATTCAGCTGCAAAACGCAGCTACAGTAGGGCTCACAGAAGAAAGTTCACAGCTTCAAATGCTTGCTTGTGTTGAAAATGAAATATAAATATGGTATTAGTCTCCAGTAGGATCCAGCCACAAGGGCAGCAGGGATTCAAAGAAAGCTGGGGCAGTATGAACACGTTTGAAAACTCAGATGACAAATTCTTAGAGAAAGAAAAATTTTGGGGGGATGCCTGGGTGGCTCAGTGGTTTAGTGCCTGCCTTCAGCCCAGGGTGTGATCCTAGAGTCTCCGGATCTAGTCCCACATCGGGCTCCCTGCATGGAGCCTACTTCTCCCTCTGCCTGTGTCTCTGCCCCTCTCTCTCATGAATAAATAAATAAAATCTTAAAAAAGAAAAAAAAGAAAAATTTTCAAAAATTGTGAAAAAGTCTGAGGAGTTTAAAATCTGAATCAGGAATCCACATATTCCCACAAGGAAAACAGCAGGCCCAGGCTGTTTTCCAGGGGATGCCAAGCGAGTGTGCCAAGGGGGGCAGATGTCCTAGTCTGATAGGAGTCTGAACGTGGAAACAGGGAGAAAGAGGCAGGCACACACTTCCTGCTTAACCTGGACACAGAGGCAGTTCAAGAAAGGACGAGAGGCCAGTCTCACTAACATGGATGTGGAAATGCTCTAAATGAAAGATGAGCGAACGGAACCTAACTGCAATGAAAAAATATAATACACTGTGACCAGATTGAGGTTATCTGGGAACGCAAGGTTGACAAGACATAAGGACCTGAGTATACAGATGTCACTCATCCCATGAACAGATGAAACAGAAACGATCTTATCACCTCCACCAGTGATAAGCATCTGACGAAGTTCCATAAATACCCACGGCAAGGACTCTAGTGAATTAGGGCAAGTGCTCTAACCTGCTCTGTGTTATTATTTACCCAAAAGACTTAGGGGAAAGCGGGCTTCATTATCGGGGCTGAAGCATGCAGAGCAGGCGTCCCTGCTAGGTAAGGGTGTGTGGGAGGGTCGTGCCTACACCGTCAGCACTTCTCGGAATGCAGTGAAGTCAGACTCCAGCTCCAGTGTCTCTCCTTCCCTCCTCCCTAGCACTCCGCACTCAGCCCTCCTGCCTGCCGGGGACCTCCACGTCTCGTGTGGTAAGAGAATGTGATTTAGGGGGCGCCTGGGGGCTCAGTCGGTTAAGCATCTGACTCTCGGTATGGGCTCAGGGTCATGGGATAGAGCCTGAGTCTGTTTAAGATTCTCTCTCTCCCTCTGCTCCCCACCAACCCAGTGCGCTCCCTCACTAGCACGGTCACTCTCTCTCAAATAAATAAATAAATCTTTACAAAGAGAATTTGATTTAGATGATGCTGATTCTTTTGTTTGTTTAGATTTTTTGGAGTAGAAGACAATTAGCTTCCACAAATGCCCTGTTAGGTAGCACAGTTAGAGATCAAACGCACCCTGGAGCCAGAGAGTGCCTAGGTTTGAGCCCTGGTTCTGCCACTTATTAGCTATGTGATCAAGACAAAGTATCTGGCCTCCTTGTGCCTCAGTTTCCCCATCTGTGAAATATTATGAAGATTAAGTAAATTAAACAATGTAAAGTACGTAGGATAATGCCTGGAACACAGTAAATAGTATGCAAATGCCAGCTATTGTCACCAGGTGTGTGTTAAAACAGTATATATTCTGGAGTCCTTGGATACAATATCCTATGTGTGTCCATCAGGTATATTTAATCAATAGTGTTGCTCAGATCTCCTATAAATCCTTATAGACTCTGTCTCTTTGTGAGCTATTAACAAGAGAAGTGTGTTAAAAAATCCCATTACAACAGTGCATTTGATTTCTCCTTACAGTTCTGCCGATCTTTGGTTTATGTATTTGGAAACTATGTTATTACATGCATACAAATTTTAAATTATTTTATCTTCCTGGTGTAGTGAACATCATGAATATACATGATCTCCTTTATCACAAGTAATGATTTTGCCTTAAAGACTTTTGGAAGGGGGGGGCCAAGGGTATGATATAACCATAACTACTTTCAACTTTTGTTGGGTACGTTTATCTTAAGCAGCTCTTTTTGAGATACAACTGACATACAATAAATTTACATATTGAAAGTATATAATTGTCTAGGTTTTGATATATGTCTACACCTGCGGAACACTTCCTCTACTTCTGTACAGAGAGAACCTATGACGTATGCTTTTGTCCAGCTACCTTCACTGAGCACTATTACTTTGCGACTCAGCCGTGTTGCTGCATGGCCACCGCCTGTGACTGCTCAGTAGTATTTCATTGCTACCTGTGAGTGCTTGTTCACCAGAGCTGCTTGCCTGTTGACAGACACGGAGTTGTTTTGGGTTTGGGGCCACGAGAAATTCAGCTGCTGTGAATGTCTGTGTACCAGTCTTTGTATGGCTATATGCCCTTACTTTTGTGGGATAAATACCGAGGAGCAGAAAGCTCATCACATGGTAGCAGTACTTCAACTTCGAAGACCCTGCCCAACTATCTGCAAGGTAACTGCACCACTGGACATTTCCACCAGCAGCAGAGGGAGTTCCTGTTCTCACTCCATGGCCAATAGATGAAATGGTCAGTGTTTTTAATATTAGCCACTCTCGTGGGCAAGTGGTAGGATCTCACTGTGGTGTTAATTTACATATTTATATTCCTCTAATGACTAATGATTTTCAACATCTTGAATGTACTTATAGACATTCTTGATGGAGTGTCTGTTCAGCTTTTTTCCCTGGGTCGTTTGTTTCTATTGTTGAGATTTGAGCAACTTTCTGGATACTCTAAATACAAGTCTTTGATCAGCGACGTGCTTTACAAACACTTCTCTCTGCCTATAACGTGTCTTTTATCCTCTTGACAATGACTCTTGAAGAGCATGAATTTTAAAGTTTGATGACATTCAATCTATCACTTTGTTCTTTTATAGATCTTGCTTTTGGTGTCATTTCTAAGAAATCTCTACCTAACCCTAAGGGTGTAAAGGTTTTCTCCTGAAATAGTTTTAAGCTTTACATTTAGTTCTGTGATACATTTTGAATTATGTTATACGAAAAAAATGTTATAAAAATGTTATACATTTTGTATATGGTGTATGGTAGCAGTTGAAGTTCATTTCTAAACACACGGATATCCAACTGCTCCAGGATTTGTTGAAGACTATCCTTTCTCTGCTGACTTAACAACCAGGTAGTGCTAGTCCTCTAGTTTTGTTCTTTGTTAAAGTTGATTTGTCTATTCTAAGTGTTTTGCACATCCATAAAAATTTTAAAGCCAGTCTGTCAATTTCTCCAAAAAGCTTGCTGGGATTTTACTGGAGTTGCACTGAATGTATAGATCAATTTGGGGGAATTGTATCTTAACAGCATTGAGTGTCCTGACTCATGAACACGGTATAGCTTACCACTGACTTAGGTCTTCTTTAATTATTTGCAGCAATGTTTTATAGTTTTCAGGGTACAAGTCTGTTGCATCTTTTGTTAGATCTTCTCAAAGCAGCTTATATTTTTGACACAAACTAGTGTTTTGAACAAAAATAAACTTAAAGTTGATTAAAGACTTCAATGTGACAGCTAAAACCATAAAATTCCTAGAAAAAAACATACGCAGTAATCTCTTTGACACCAGCCATAAAAACATTTTTTCTGGACATGTCTCCTCTGGCAAGGGAAACAAAAGCAAAATTAAATTATTGAGACTACACCAAAATAAAAAGCTTCTGCACAGCAAAGGAAACCATTAAACAGTATGGAGGTTCCTCAAAAAGTAAAAATGGAATTACCATATGATCCAGTAATCCACTACACAAAGAAAATAAAAACTAGTTTAAAAAGATACCACATTCCTATGTTTATTGTAGCATTATTTACAATAACCAAGATATGGAAGCAGCCCAAGTGTCCATCAATAGGTGAACGAATAAAGAAGGTATAGTGTACATATAGAATGGAATGTTACTCAGCCATAAAAAAGAATGAGATCTTGCCACGTGCAACAACATGGATGGGTCTAGAGGGGATAAGCTAAGTGAAACAAGTCAGAGAAAGATACCATGTGATTTCATTTATGTGGAATTTAAGGAACAAAAAACATAGAAAGAAAGAAAAAAGACAAACAAAGAAAAACAGACTTAAAATACAGAGAACTGGAGGATGCCAGAGGGAAGGTGCATGGAGGCTGGAGAAGGGGTGAGGTAAAGGGGAGGAAGCCCACACTAATCGTGATGAGCACTGAGAAATGTACTGAATTACTGAGA